AAGTCACCTAGTGTTAGATAGATCTATAATAATACATGTAGATTAACTGGTATAGGTCTAGGCGATTATCATAATGAATGGTTGAAGATGTAGAATGCTATGACTCAGTATCGGTGGGAATATTGAAGATGTATTCATTATTTGTTTCCCCTAAACCTTGAGTTTTGAAATTCTTATGCCTTTAATCTTCAGAATTCATTCCTTCTTCTCAAGAAATTGTCTATAATTAATATTTTCTTCCACTACTAATACTATTGGTATCTTGATTACTCTAACTTTTTTCTTTATATTTTCATCTCGCTGTTCTGATATAATGTAGCAGCTTGAACTGACACATATGTATACCAGGTTCAACGTTATTTCTGACTTAATAAGTGACTAATAGATTGTCATTGTATTCTAATGAAATCAAGTAGTTATTAAACACATCAATAGAAAACGAATTAATAGTCAAGTCACAACTACTCAATCTATCCTAGAAAGTTACAATTCTTTTTAAAGTCGTAGAAGTATCTTTATTTCACAAGTATTGAAATATTAAGAATCTAGTTTAGTTGATCCACTTTGTTTTACTAAATCCTTTAGAATGGAAATTTGATTTAAGAAAAAAAAGTGAAACTGTTTTTATCATTCACATGAAAACAATCCTACCCGTCTATAGATAATTCATTTTGTAACCAATTGAAGAATAACGAAATTCAATGATGATGTTCTCTAAAACATGAAAAAGGTACGATTTGGATCAATTTTAATATGAATAAGCCATGATCTCTTTTTGTGTACAGATATTCAGTATAAATTCTGAAGGTGTTTTGTATCTAATGATTGATACGTTAATATCGCTTCATATGCATAATGTTAATAGGTTTCATATAAATTGAAAATAGATTGATAAAACTCATTAAAAATTTTTTGATTGAGATCATGAACCGATTGATGTTAGACCATCACAATTGAAAACCTGGAAGCACTGGACGGCCGTTTCGTCCTATCGTGGGACTCCTCAGCAGTGCGCAGCCACGATCCCGCACCCCGCGAGATTCGAACCCAGGGCCTTCGGTCTCGCGCGCGAACGCTTAACCAACTGGACCACTGAGCCGGCATGCAATGGTGATAGTTTCTAACATCAACCAATCCACGAAATTGCGCGACCAACTTCCCTTGTACTGAGGTAGATACCTGTCTCTACTCGACAAGGATTAGCTCCACTGGTCACGGCTTCTCACTAGAACATTTGAGACCATGAGGGAATTCTCGGAGATTTAGTGAGAAGCCGTGACCAGTGGAGCTAATCCTTGTCGAGTAGAGACAGGTATCTACCTCAGTACAAGGGAAGTTGGTCGCGCAATTTCGTGGATTGGTTGATGTTAGAAACTATCACCATTGCATGCCGGCTCAGTGGTCCAGTTGGTTAAGCGTTCGCGCGCGAGACCGAAGGCCCTGGGTTCGAATCTCGCGGGGTGCGGGATCGTGGCTGCGCACTGCTGAGGAGTCCCACAATAGGACGAAACGGCCGTCCAGTGCTTCCAGGTTTTCAATTGTGATGGTCTAACATCAATCGGTTCATGATCTCAATCAAAAACTTAATAATCTCCACAACCCCTATACTAGTCATTAAAAATTACCAAATCATTTTATTTTTATTCCTGTCAACTCATTGTACATAAAATATGCTAATGTATTATACATTTTAATTACTTTTTGAATATTTGATTCTTCAGTCTGAATTCGTTTACATTTTTTATGATCCAGTTTTCATTACAAATCGATATCGGTTTTAGAGTTATAATTCTTCTTTAACTTAATAATTTAATCAATTTCCAATATAGGTGCCCCTGAATAATTTCGTTTATATCCTGTAAAATAGTAAATTTACATGTGGCGCATACATATTCGGTGCCCTCTTGTACCAATATTTATGTGTTCAAATAAATAAATAAAATTCTCATAATTCTGAATCAAAAACCAAATAAAGAATGTATTAGGAATAGTCTATTTCAGGAGTTTATTTGAGCAGATAAATCATTAAAGATAATGAAATTCAGATGGGATTGGTATAGTCAATTCAATTTCTTTATGTTTCAGCTTACATAGTTCATACAGATATTGGTAAGTTAAGCTAATAGATAAAAAAAGAATAAATAGATTAGGCGATAAACAGATAAGAGCACAGATGAAACATACACAAAGAGTACAAGAACAATACTAAACAAGGATACGGATAAAAGTGATTTATATGTCACATACTGTCAAAATTGTTAATATATGTTCAAGAGTAAAAATAACATAGGAGTATGAAGCCACTAATGAAATACTAAAATGATGATAGTTATTTCTTCCTAATCTCTACTCAGAGTTCATATAAAATCTTACTCAAAACTCAAATGCATGTTGATGCCGAAAATAGTATTTGAACACTGAGTCGGAATTTAATGGTAATCATTTTTCTAATGTAATCACTTTATTAAAAGTCAAATGAATATCCAGTGTCATTCTTTAGTAACTGACTAATTCTTGAACTGTTCAACTCAATAAATCAATGTTTTTTCAAAAATAATATTATTGGTGCTGAAACTAATTCCTAATATATTTAATAAACAAAATTTATTCAAATGAGTACGTTAGATGATATTATTGAACATTGGTCTTATTTTATATTAGACGCTGTGGATTAATGACAATTTCATGTAGTCATGACAAAAGATAAATTATGAAAGTTGATTGAGTACTTCGTCATGTCGTTTGATTTTTTTATTTTTCGTTATTGATGCTTTTGATATTTTACTGTCTATAGTCCATAATTACGGTGATTTCAATGATTGTTGCCTTTTATCAATCTACTTATAAAATTATAATAGTTCGATAAAGATACATTCAATTTATTTTAATTTCAAATCCATAAAATTCTATTTTTTATCTACATCAACAGTAGACAAGTGTCCATTATATGAAAATTGACAACAACAAAACATAACTCATAATTTTTCGGTGAATAGATAACCCAACTGACAAAATTAAAATAATTTCAATGGTTAAAATCATGAGTTAGTTGAAGCTAGACCACCATGGAAAACCTGGAAGCACTGGGAGTTAGACATTAACACTGTTAGATGCCGGCCGTTTCAGTGGTCTAGTGATTAAGTGCTTGCGCGCGAAACGAGTAGGTCCTAAGTTCGAATCTCGCAGGGGGCGAGGTCGTAGATGAGCACTGCTGAGGAGTCCCACAATAGAACGAAACGGCCGTCCAGTGCTTCCAGGTTTTCCGTGTTGGTCTAGCTTCAACTGACCCATGATCTTAACCATTGAAATTACTATAATATCCACAAAACCCATCTGATATTAAAATTAAAGTAGTTTTAAACAACTTCGATTTGAACCAATTAGAAACAATAGATGATCAGCAATTCGAAATAAAAAAAAATAATGATACGTTTAACTGAAAAATAAATTGGCTGAGATTATGCTGAATAAAAAGAAAATAGTCGATTTTCACTTCATTTATAAGGGTGTATATTTTCTCATTGTTGATGTTAAAGAATTCAGTTAATCAGTCTATATTAGGATATTTACATTTTCAACAGATTCCCATGATATTATCATTTAATCGCAAGTTTCTAGTAAAACTAGATAGTAACCAGCGATGGAACACAGAAAACTAACCAATTGTAGTCCTTAAAACTAACAATTAAAAAACTAAAGACATTTTAAAATCTAGTGAAAACTTATTCTTTTCAATATACTCTCGGTCAATTTCTGCCTTATTTAGACGTATTATTACTCTTTCGACTGATGAATTTGTCATAGTTACTGGTTAGAATTTTATTCTTTTCGTCAAATGCTTCATTTCTTTAACTAAGTACACTGATAAAGAAGGAAGGCGATTCAGCAAAGAAAATTTGCTTTCAGACGAATTCGTCTGTTTAGACTGTAAACTATTATTTATAGTTACTTTGATTTACGAAACTCATTTCCGAACATTACCCTATCTGGTTGTCCAAAGGATTACAGAAGTAAATCAAAAGCACAGTTTTGGAATACCTAGTCAATCATGGTCAATCCGTTTCACCAGAATCCTCCTTTCGAAATATGTATACATTGAGAAGAATTGGATCAGTAAGAATGTAAATGAAAAACTTATGTACAGAAGAGGTTATTGCTATCCACCAATTTAAGCCTAACCTTTGCATACAAAAATAGTATGTTCAATCCTCCATTCTTCCATGGCCCCAACTTCTTTTTCTACCTCTCATAATCTGTCATTCTGATTTATTCTTATTTACATAACCATTCCTGGCCTTTTCCAATTATTTTCACGACTATTAATCAGCAATTATTACATTTTTTAATAGTTCTGTTCCTAATAGCTATTAAATGGATGATTATTTTATCCTACTACCTTTTCACTAGCCCATTATTACATAATTTCCTTCCAATATCTGAATTTTAATTCTTAAACACATACCACTTCAAGTTTTTTAATTGATTAGCACCTTTCTAATTCACTATAGAACACTATTTTAGCAAATAAAATTGACCATAAATACGATTGTCAAGCTTCAGTTATTAAAACCGTTGAATTGCCTTCCTACTTCTTCAATGATACAATAGGTCTCTTTCATATAACTACATTTGATTTGTGCTGACATTATGTAGAACATTCACCTCTGTGAACTAGGTTTTTGTGAGCTGATCAAGAATTAGATAAAGTTAAACTCATTAGAGTGGATATCTAGTTAGTGAAATATGTTAATCGACATAAATGTTTCTCAGTTCTTCTAGTTATTTATGTGAAAGGTAAAATATTGACTGATTGATTTGTCAGCCCACTAATTATAAAATAAATTTATTTTTTCTTCCTCAAATAACCAACAGTTCGTCATTATTTCACTAAGTTAGAAAAGAAGGAATAAATGAAATGTAAAAACATTCCCTATACATATCTTCTTTCATATAGCACTTCTAATCTCTGAACTTATTTTCTATTTTTCTTATATTTATAGGTTTCTGCGATTATTATTGACTGTATTCTTCTGTGGTTTCGTTTTGTGTCAAATGGTGAATAGCCAATACAGAGAGGCAGAGTTTAATCATGCAGATCCTGATGGATATAATGCATTATATGAAGAAGATCCTAATTACATTCAAAAACGTGTTCAATTTCTACGTCTCGGTAAAAGATTAGCCAGGAAATCTGCATATCCTTATGTTGGTTAAACATTATGCTGATTTCTTTAAAAGATATGAAAAAACAACTGTTTAACAAAAATACAAATTTTTAAAATGAAACTAAATTAATATATAAGTAATTATTTACGAAACTCTGTCTTTTTATTCTAGTAATCGGTGTAGCATACTTTTTCATCTTATTTTCCGTAATAATTATCTAACCATCATATAACTTAATTATGAATGTAGATATATCTTCTTTAAAATGTATTCAATATTACAAATGAAGAAGACTTAGTCTTATCCATCATCAAAACAAGAATAATTACATAAGGATTATGAAGGTTAACAAATAAAAAGAGGGTAAATTCGATACTATACTCTTCAACTCCACTTTTAATCATATAACTGATCGGTTCATTGAAATGATTTGATTTTGGTATCTTGTCATTGTTAGAATCATTGACCAATGTCATGTGTTACTAATCCATTAGTGCTACTAATACAATTCAATCTACCATGTCGTAATGTGAAAACTATTCTAGGTGATTCAATATTGTGTTCACTAAATTGAGATGATAATTATTTTCAAAGAAAATTCTGAACCTAGATCTAAGGCTAGTTGCATGTGAGCTAGCTCTATAGTAACGCTTCAGTCTGTCAAACCAGGTGATGCGGTTTCGAACCCAACAAAGAACATAAGTTACTTCAATGTTGCATATACGCCTTGTAGAAGAGTATCAACTGGAGCGAAATCTAGATCAAAGATTTCTTTATAATTACACACAATCGCCTGAAATATTAAATAAATTTAACTAACACTGAAATAATACTCTAAATATTTTTAGTAAGTAATAATTAGAATTATAAACTTATTGAACTATATAGTCATTAGAATATGAAAATCCATGCGTACAGAAATTTAATCATTTAGAAAACTATAATTATTCCTACTATAGTACGTGAATTGTCTGCACTTACTATTCTCTCAAATAAAAGTTTTGAATATCTCGTTAGTTTAACTGTGTATTTCATCCATATTTATATTGGCTTTTTTATTTCTAACACTCTTATTCCACAAACATTCGTTCACAAAATGTCATTTATTTAAATTCAAACTATACAAAATGACTTTAAACTTAACCCCATTGCACACGTTAATGGCAATCAGCCCTCAATAGCTAATTGAATAACGCGATGGCGTTCGAAGTGAACGGTAATTGGTTCAAGTTTTGGTGTAAACATCAACTTTGAGATCTAGGTGCAGCTGACGAGTCCGAAACAGGACGAAACGCCTATCTTGAATTCCACTACTAGCCATCATCTATCTTTGTTCATTCATTTGTTCGTGTTTTGAATATCTGGGTAAGAAGATAAACATTTTTATATCAACTAGGTGCATAAATCCATTCCTTTAATCAAACAGAATCATTTGGAAGAAAAAAAACCAAATCAAATAGATTCAACTGTTTATGAAAAAAACTTCCGAAGATTTTATAAATTTTATTTGTTTTACACTCATCTTACTTTGGAAGATAAAAAATCAACATTTTTGTGTTTATAGTTTAACTAATACGGGATAACGTTTAAATTGGTGATTTAATATAGAAAACTGATATAATGGTTGATCGTCTAATAATTACTTGATCTTACACTGTTCCAAAGATTATGATAAATAGTCGACAAATCACTTTCATAGACTTTTATAGACTTTTATAAATATATATTTTAGTTGTTTACGACTCAACAGTATTTCAGTATGGAACACATTAATCAGACCTACAACTAGTATTATGGTTGATAAATTTGTATTAAATCTTAAATGGATCAAGTCATCATAAACTGATAGGATTAAAACGATGGATAATTTGGTATAAGTATTTAAAAGTACATTATAATCAATATACGTGTAAGATGAATCGAGTAAATTTGTACAGGATACAAATATACCAAAAGAAATTGATCGATTGCAGTCCTAGACATCTAAGAAAAGATTCAAATAACCAATAAAAATGAGTCTAAGTGCACCAAATTCCACAAATCAGAGGCTGTCTGTACTCAGTAACCAAATGGATAATGTGTTGGAGTTTGAAGTGAAGAGTATTAAATTTGAATTTAAGAGTGAATATCAACTCTTGGATCCAGGTGTATTCAGTCAACGAGTCCTAAATATAAGACTTGTTCAGCGTCCTGCATTCCACTACCAAACATAATCCACCACTTCTATAAAACTTGTGATAAAATAGCTAAATAGAAGACATGCTTACAGGATGAACATATGCTGAAAAAATTGATTATTTGTAGTTTTAAAAATCTGGTTAGCGTTTTTTTAGCGAGTAAGTTTTCTACGGGATGGAGTCGCTAACCTCATGCCCAACCCTCCTCCTTTACCCGGGCTTGGGACCGGCAGTAACTCTAGAAGGGCTACAGGCGGAGTTAGAGCTACAGAGCTACTCTCGCCCTTCCTCTTTCTTCTGATGGTCGATTGGATTATGGAGACCTCGACAACTGAGGGAAAACACGGCATACAGTGGACAGCTCAGAACCAATTAGACGATTTGGACTTCGCAGATGACCTAGCCATCCTATCACGTACACACGAACAGATGCAGATGAAGACAGCCAGTGTAGCAGCAGTTTCTGCATCAGTAAGCCTCAACATACACAAGGGGTAAACCAAGGTTCTCAACTACAACACGGATAACGGCAATCTAATCACACTTGATGGCGAAACTCTGGAAGACGTAGAATGTTTCACATACTTGGCAAGCATCATCGATGAACAAGGAGGATCAGATGCAAATGTGAAGGCGTGGATTGGCAGAACAAGGGCCGCAGTCCTACAATTGAAGAACATATGGTACTTGTGGTGGTTGGTATTGAATGTAATCCTTAAACTTCGTATACAGTTCGTTTTGATAACCGTCACTAGATAACTCCCCAACGGTATATTAATCAGAAGGCGAATACGAAGTGTTGATTACGTCTATTGTGGGACCACACACAGATATCCAAAGCAAACATGAAAGAGTTGTGCCGAAAGGCAAGCAGGCAAGTGAGCGAGCGAGTGAGTCAACGAATATGAGTACGAGTAAGCGAGTACAATTAAGCGAGAGAGAGCAATGAACATGAATAGCATGGACATATATATACATAGTGAAATGAATGAATCATCGAATCAATTAAGCGGTTAACAGTAAGGCTAGCAGCGTGAATAAATACGTAGTCAGTAAGCAATGCTCAAGCATACATGTTCATACATTCGCAACAATAATAAAGATACAATGATATAGATAAAATGTTGTTATACGGATGACTCAGTCCGTTAATGAGTTAATAAAATGATTTATTCGAATTAAATGTGAACAAACTCAATTGCACGTGAGTTCCTACAAACTCAACACAACTTTCGACCAATACCAAAGTCGGAATCTTCAATACGAACATGAAGATAGTTCTACTGTACGAAGGTGAAACGTGGAGAACTAATACAACCATCATCAAAAAGGTACAAGTAGTTGTCTACGCAAGATACTCAACATCCATTGGCCGGATACCATCAACAACAGCCTACTGTGGGAGAGAACAAACCAGCTTCCAGCTGATGAAGAAATTAGGAAAAGACGATGGAAATGTATAGAATATACATTACTCAAATCATCAAACTGCATCACAAGGCAAGCACTAACTTGGAATCCTGAAGGGAAGTGGAAAAGAGGAAGGTCAAAGAACACATTACGTCGGTAAATCGAAGCAGATATGAAAAGCATGAATAACACCTGGGAAGAGCTGGAACGGATTGCCCAGGACAGGTTTGGATGGAGAATGCTGGTGAGCGGCCTATGCTCCTGCTCGAGGAGTAACAAGCGTAAGTAAGTAAGGTTTGTTCTTATGTTTATTAGTATTTACTCATTTTGGATAGTTAAGACAGTTACTTTGTTCTTTTAAGTAACTTTTACTTCAACATACTGATCAAAGCATTCCAAGTTGTTAATTCATTTTGATAATGGTTGTTTAAATCTTCATATTGGTGTTTAGAACTGCAATAGATCAGTCTCTTATTAGCATATGTGCATCCGGTGCGGATTACCTCAAGCATTATAAGCAAATATGAATGATGGTTAGCAGTGTAATCCAGGACTCGCGTTTTTTTTCATTTGTAACTCATCGGTTGAGAATACAAGCAAACCTGAGTTGGTGTTCCAGACTACTGATAACGATCTACATAATCATATACGTTTTATTTGCTCCAAAACGTTTGTATGTTAAATCATATATTTTATGTATTCATATATTTCAAACAGCGATTACAAATGAAGTAAGAAAAATAACTTTCTGAAGATAAGAAATATAAAATTCAAAACAATCATGGTTAGCTTAAAAATTAAAAAAAATTAAGAATCATTCTGTCAAAATTTAAGCAGATTTTCTATCCACATAATTGTACTCTTTACATTTACATTATAACTTTACAGAAGATGAAATCGTGTATTATGCTCTATCTTAACTTATTTCTTCTACACTTATTCTCTATTATTTTGAGATATGTGATAGTTTTAACTAATACACCTTTACACATAGTATAATTATCCATTTATTTACACATAAAACATATAAATGACACTTCCTTTATTTATTTCAAAATGAAATGACCGCCCAGTGCTTCCAGGTTTTTCATGGTAATCTAGTTTCAATTGACTCACGATCTCAACTATTAAATTGAAAATTATCTAATTATTTTAAACATTTAAAGGTAGATAAAGCCAGTACATTTATATATATCCAATTACGCATTGTAGTAAATACCATATATATATATATATATATATATATTATATATATATATATATATATATATATATATATATATATATATATATATATATATATATATATATATATATATATATATATATATATCATGCACAACAGAAATTTGAAGATCACTTACAGATTGTTGGATTTTCATTAAGATACTTTAAAATTATAATTATAATTACAATTATAATTATAATAATATACATTGAATAATGTAAATATAAGGTGATTGTTTAAACCGACTATTATATTAATCAAGTCTTATTTCTGAAAAAGGACTTATTTTAAAATCGACTCGATAATCGTGAGTAAAACTTTAAAACTCAATGTTGA